GCATAGCGGGCGCATAGCGGGCGCATAGCGGGCGCATAGCAGGCGCATAGCAGGCGCATAGCAGGCGCATAGCAGGCGCATACCACCAGCATAGCAGGCGCATAAGACCAGCATAGCAGCCGCATACCACCAGCATAGCAGGCGCATAAGACCAGCATAGCAGCCCACCAGCATACCACCAGCATAGCAGGCGCATACCACCAGCATAGCAGCCGCATACCACCGGCATAGCAGACCCGGGCCTCACCGCGCTCGAGGTCGCGGCGCTCCCCGCGCTCCGCGCGCACGCCACGTGCGAGATCGAGGAGGCGGGCGGCGCGCTCGTCACGCGCCTCGCCAGCATCCGCGTCGTCGACGACGAGGGCCTCGTCGTCTGCGGCGTCCCCATCGGCACGCCGAGTTTCGCGCAGGGCGCGATCGCGACCAAAGTCACCGAGATGTGCAGCTACACGAAAACCATCAACGACAAGCTCTGCTCGGTGGACCCGCAGTCCGCTTTTGCTCTCCTACGGAACTGTTCGGCCCGGCGCCTGGACTTCCTCGCGTCCAACGCGTACCCATCCGACGGCGCCGCGTCGTACGCGCGGTTCGACGTCGCGGTCGACGAGGCCGCGCGGCTCGCGCTCGGCGCCGCCGGCCCCGGCATCTTGAGCGACACGCTCGCGAGCCGGCGCCTGCGGCTGCCCCTGTCCTTCGGCGGCGGCGGCCTGCGGTCGGTCTTCGCGACCGTGCCCGCAGCCTTCTGCGGTCGCCTCTTCGCCGTCGCGTCGAAGCTCAGCGCGATCGCCCCGAAGCCCACCGCCGCGGCCTTCGACGGCGGCGAGACCGGCGACGGCTTCCTCGCGGCGCCCGCGCGCTGGCGCTCTCTGCTCGCCGGCCCGTCGCGCCTCGCCTCTGAGCTCAAGTCCGCGTGGCTGAAGCTCACGAGCGAGAGCGCGCACGCGCGTCTCGCGGCGTCCAACGCCGGCGAGGAGCCGCCGAACCCGGGCTTGCTCGACGCGCCCGTCGAGCGCGCCGGGCTCAAGGTCACCGTCGACGAGGGCCAGTCCGAGCCGTCGTACCTCGAGGCCGGAGCGCAGGCGGCGCTCA